TGTCTATGGACCGGCAGACAAAGTGATTATCTTTATAATATATTATTCCCACTAAGTGGCACTGATAAGCTCTTTCTTGATGAGGGATCTGTAGACACAAGTCAATGTAAGGCAGTTTTCTTCTTGGACCTGCTTCATGTATACCAAATGCAAGTAAAGAAGGTGGAGACTGGAAATTATGGTGAAATGTCAGTTGTGAATTACATGTATTACATCTGTGTTGTGATAGCATGCCACTAAATAAAGACCTAGCTAAAACAGAAGTAGATGCAACAAAGTCAGTTGATTGATTAAATACAGGCGAATATGTATTGTATCCACTTTGAACTACAGAGGACATACAGTTACATTGCTCTGTTTGTCGGTGTGTCTCAACATTCATAAATAATACTCTGTCAAGAAGATCAGACATGGGTGTAAAAGCACCAAGGTAAAAACTATTTGGATACTTGTTTATCACTGACAGTCTAAGTTGATCCTGGGCATTACTGGTATCAATAATACCATTGGCACACTGTACAAAAGATGTCTGAAGTTGCTTTAGGATATCATTCTCGCTGCTATTGAAATAAGAAGACCATCTTTAAGTGTCTGAATTCCACAGAGGCCATAAAACATCAAAGAGAGCATCATATGCACAGCTGTTATTGGACCATATGGGTGCTCCTAATGACGAAACATTAGGCTGTAATACATCTGCTACAGGCTCAAGTTGCACTCTCTTTATTACATCAGTTTTATAGGGAGCAGTGCTCCCAGATATTACACATTTCTTGGATAGATCTGCGCCTGACTTCTTAGTTTTAGTCTGTATTTTAGAGTCTACTTTCTGCATACCACAAAGCTTGCTTCTGTTGGACATGCTACTGGGTAACATGGGCACCTGCCAAGATGGATCATATTGAACAGCCTCCTTAAGGGCTTGCTCCATGTCAGTTTTAGCTTTAGAGCTGTTAATGATTTCCCATCCTAATTCTTCAACATCAATAACTTCTAAAGGATCATTGTTTGACCAGCGCAAAGCATCACGTACAGTAGGAGGCACATAGGACCTAGACATAGTTTTTCAAAAGGAGCCAATGAGAGTATTTCGTGTATTTCCTTGTACATGTAGAGGTAAAGTACCCTCATATCTTTTTTTAGTAATATCATTCAACAGTTCAAGTTCTTGTCTGAGTGAAGAACCTTTTAATCCACCAGTTATTTTATTAGTATCAAATGAATCAAGAATGATTGTTCCCTTTGCAGTTGCACTTCTAGACAATACTGTATAGTATACATGAAAGCTATAACAGTTAGCAAGATGTACTGGATTACGTGGTCTGGTCTTTCCTTGTGATGAGAAATCAGTCATAGCAAAACATGGTACTACATCAACTTGAGTGTGGTATACTGTTAGCGTCTTTCAACATCACTAGGAGGACTTGTTAGCTTAATGAAAAGAGTATCTAGTCACTGCTGTGAAGGATGGCCTCTACAAGTCCACCCATACACTATACCCTCTTGACCTCTAGTAATATTGAGCTCAGTAGCTATATTTTTTCTTATGATAACAGGCATACCTTTACATAGTGATATCTTTGCTGGTACTAAAGTATCAGCGGCACTAGAATCTAAGGTCTAAAGATATTCTTGCCATTGAGGAGTCATTTGTGATAGATAAACAGCATTTGGATTCTTGTTCTGTCTTTTACTGTTATGATCTGAAGGTTTAATTATATCCTCTGAGTAAAAGTGATGCAAAGTCTGCTCTGTTTCCTCAGCAAATCGTGCTCCTCCAATTTGATTTATTTCATCCTTCTGAACATTTAATGCTGTTATAATTGCAACATTATGGAAGTCTAGATCACAAATTGATGCATGCCCTGGCATATTGGATGAGATTTTCAAATTGAGAAAGGCAATATCTGCCTGAGTACAGTTTTTATAGCACATGTTTTCAAGGGCTGCTCTCAACTTGGAATCTTCTTCACTCTGTGTCTTTTGCCACATATTTTGCCTTAAAATCACTACAGTTGTCACTAGATGCCACAGTGATTTTCCTATAGCCTCTTCTTGCTGACGTAGTATACTGTGCAAAGCACCTATATTCTTTTCATAGAGGGGAATACTCTCACCACCCATTGGTAGAGGCAATTGAGCAAAATCTCCTGCAAAAATCATGTTTAGTCCACCAAACTCTGTATCATTGTTCAAAAGACAGAGACATAGCTGTCTGCTTATACAATAGAGCTCCCAAGCTGATAACATAGACACTTCATCAAAGAAAACATATTTTACTCCAAGAAGCTGTTCTCAAATTAAAGGTAAGTTGCTTGCAGTGGAATAGTCATTAATGCCAAATGCTGAATGATAGGTAGAACCTTCCAGGGTAGAACCTCCCAGAAGGGCTGCAGCACTACCCATTGGAGCTACAACTAAAAGCTTATAGCTTTCATCATGGATATCAAAAAAGTGGATTAGTGATTGGAGCACAGTAGACTTTCCTGTGCCACCCATACCACTTATATACATCTTTAGCTGATCACTGTCAACAGAAGATGCATGATTAGCTATTATATGAAAGGCTCTCTCTTGTTTATTATTCAACTCAAACTTACTGATTGTATCTGTAATATATTGTGCTTGATGCGCAGCATTAAAGGATTGTTCTAGATAAGATTTATCAACAACTTTTACAATGTCAGTATGAGATTCAGGAGCAAAAGCAAGCTGTCTGTTATTTATAAACTGGATATGAACTGAAGCAGGTACAAGATTGGCTCTCATCTCTAATATATGCTGTCATCGAGACATAAGAGTAGATTTCCAGTGCTCTCGAGACAAGGTAGGGATGTTAGAATATAAACCATCCAGAGTCTTCCTAGCCTCGGTTTGAATCTGATTCCATTTACACAATTCAAGCACTGCTCTAATATGATTCTTGTGTATGAGCTGATTGCGGTAGCTTTTAGTATAGTGTAATTGATCAGCAGCTAACTCAAAGTCATCTAAAACACCATTTAGGGGCATTATTGTTTCAATAGGATCACAAAGATTTAAATCATTATCTATATCATCATTGTCATTCTCATCTAGTGCAGCATAGAATGGATCCCAGCTACTTTGAAGACCATCTGACCTTCTCATCTGAGCATGATAGTCATCTCTTGCATCAAGACACTGATATTTGATCATAAAGTTGTTCATCAGTTCTTTCTGGCGGTCTGTAAATTTATAGTCATCAAATGCTGCTTTCCATAAAGTATAAGACTTGATAAGGTCTGTGCCTTTGTTCCAAGGTTTGAAAAGTGTCAACATTACACAGTAGTAATACTCCAAGTTTCCTTGATCGCTTCTGGGTAATGTAGCACCTAGAAAGTTGACCACTAGCTTGTCAGAGTCTTTTTGTATCTTTGCTACATGTGTCTTGAATAACTCATGCTCAGGTGCATAGTAAAAGTATCCAGTAGGAAGGCTTTGGCTGGCAGAGTTGTCTATATATATTGGACCATCTTTGTCACAATTTTGATCCAAGAGTTGATTGTTACTATTGCAGTCATCCTGAAAGGCTGCCTTATGTAATAGTGGTGATTCCTGTACATGTTTATTCTTTTTTCTTATAGCTTTCAGAGTAACACAATGGGAAATATGGATCCAATCATACAGGCAAACACTCTTTGCTTTAAGTGGCTGATCGGTATAATCTATTACAGGTGAAAGACCAATAATTCTTTCTCCATGTTTAAGTAATGTAACACATTCACAAGTATCACTAGACTGAATTTCATTTCTATCCTTAACATTGTTGAGAGTTGAGAGCAACAAGTGCAATGAACAGTCCACTTCAGGCAACCCCCTACTGGACCTTATTAGGCTACACTCCTGAGTGTGAAAGAAGGACCTTAGAGGTACCTATATACTATGATATACCTAAGTAGGCATCTACCTGAGGGTGTTCTAAGGGTGTAAAGGCAAGTGCCTCACAAGTAATTTACATGTGTTCTGGCATATGCCCAGGATGTTTTCAACCAGTTTAAGCATATGCCTGAGATGATTTTGATAGCTTTAAGCACATGCCTGGAGGTCTTATAAGCACTTTCTGGGATAGGCATATGCCTATAAAAGATAGTGTGACAGGGGTGTCAGGAGTCCTTTTGGCTGGATAATAGACAGGCATTTGCCCCCATTTTGCGCACATATTTTACCAGTATACAATCAGTTTCTGGGAATGTATTGCACACAATATGGACATTGTAGTGTGCATAATCAATATTCAGCCACTTATCAAGTGCACAGATAGGATTTGACAGGTAGAAAAATGGGCACGCCAAATTATGATTTTAGTCCTGAGTATAGTACATAGATATATATTATATCACATATCAGGGCATATGCCTGAAGAGTAGTGTTCTGCAGGCATATGCCCTAGGGTCTATGTGTAATGGGCATGTGCCCTGAGACATTTTCCATGGGGCATATGCCTCTATATATCTTGCACTAGGCATATGCCCCAGCGTCTATACCTACAATATTGGCTTGGACATTTAAAAACATTCATAGGGCATATGCCTGAAGAGTATTGTTCTGCAGGCATATGCCCCTGGGTCTATGTGTAATGGGCATGTGCCCTGAGACATTTTCCATGGGGCATATGCTCCAGTGTCTATACTTAGTGGGCATGTGCCCAGTGCAAAATATCTCAGGGCATATGCCCCAGAGTCCATACTTAATGGACATGTGCCTAATACATAGATTTATATTTATTGGACGCTTGCGTGTTAATGAGTTTGAGCTGACCAACAGCATATGGACAAGACAATAAGCTCAGAATACCTGGTGTGTGTGTACTAATGTGAATTAACAAGTGTAAAAAAAACTACATCAACTAAGAGTTGAACATGGAACCTCTGGAAGGATAGACGCATATTACATTGATCTAAGTCAGTACTTGACCACTAAGTCATTACTTGACCACTAAGTCATCAAGGTTATAATCGTGACACGATAATTGACAAAAACACCCCAGCCATGGTTTGAACATGGGACTTCAGCAAATCTTATATTCGGTGCACGCAATAACAAGACTGCCACGCTATACCACTAAGCCACTGGAGTGCATATAATAACTAAGATTCATTGATTCCTATCTAGAAGGCATCATTATCACTGTCAGATTCTACGAGGTCTATGTGGTCCAAAAGTTCTACAAGTGTTGGGTCAATTGCGTCACTTCCTGAGTCAACCCCTTCATCATCTTCATCATCAGATGAAGGGCATGTCGACACACTTTCCTTGATATGATCCCGGCGCAGAACAGAGTTGAAAGACTGGATTTCAGTTGGTAAGGGGCCCCATGATGATGTTCCTGGAGAAGCTTGCAAAACACGCATTGAGCGTCGCCACTCGTATAAAATGGCCAAGAATTCATTCCGAAGTATATGGAATTGGAATAGTATTGAGGAGTCTAACAGAATAGTTAACAGAGATCTTACATGGCAGAAGGGGAATACGCACCTGTGCAAGCACTTTGAGCATGACCTATCACTGCCCACTCCTCTGCAAACCATTCTTGGATGCTGTCCCGTTCAATCTGAAGCCGAGCCAACTCTTCATCACATCTCTCTTTCTCGAGGAGAGCCTGGATAGCACTCCTAACATTGTCGTCAGATAGCCATGGCGGAGGGGAATGCGGGAAATCATCATCCAGGCCAAAATCATGCCATATGGCATCGTCGACATCCAACTTGAACAACTTCTTGAGATCAATAGCAACAGGTGCAACAGCATTAGGCGGTGCTTTGCCAAGGCGAATGAGCTTCTCCATATTAGCAACAAGTTCATTGAACTGTTTCGCAAGACGTTGGATAGATGGATCACGCTTGGTGACAGCATCTTCAAGATGCTGATCAACCTTCCGCTCTAACAACGTCATATCAGAAAACATTCTCATATGAATTGGGTCACGAACCGTTGGTGCTATGCTTCCGATAACTTCTTTCCAATCTATCCCTCTCAAACTTTCTTTGCCGTAGCCTTTCAACAAGGCGGGTCTTAACAGCCATCGCATTCATCCGCGCATTGATATAGGGATTGTTCAAAAGGTTTGAGACTTCTTGTTGCTCTTCAACGCCAAGGTTGGCTTCACAGATGCGTAACTTGCGTTGGGCATCGCGTAATTGGACTTCCTTGACCTCCAAATCCGCTTTGATGTCAATTCGGACTGGAACAGAAAGCGAAATGTCGAGTAGCAAATTTTCGAGTCGCATTATACGCTCCTTGATCTGGTCAACAGCCTCACGGAGATGCACGACCTCTTCGACTGCACGTTTACCTGACCGCTTTGAACGAGCTGTAGGGATGTCAGGAAAAGTTTGAACAACACAGGATCTGGGATTTACCAGGTAATGGCTTGGTCTGATATGCCACCTGTGCTTCCCACTCTGTACGAAGGAATTGTTCCTGATAGCCAGCTTCGTTCAGGTGATTAACAGCAAGGCGGCGGCGCTCGTGGCAAGACAACCACTTCCGCTCCATCCATTGGCCAAGGCAAAGCAGAGCTTGACGATCGAAATGACGAATCTGCATGTCCAACGTATAAATTCGGACATGATACTGTATCGGTGATGTTAGAAAAAACAAGTGTTTACGAAGAGATAAAACGCACCCCACACACACGGAGAAAGGGTATCAACTTACTGATGGAATGCCAGAAACGCTCGCATCCCTCTCCATCAGAAAGTCCAAATCCGGCACATTTCCTGGGGTGATATACCACTTGGCATGGCCAACGGTGTCCGAAGGCATGAAACACCGAAATGGCGAAAGAAATCCGAGATATGAAGTCCTTCAGAAAGCCCCACTTGATGCACGACCGATGCAGCTGACAAGCGATATCATACAGCAAACCAATGGTGAATGTGTCAGGAAGATGCTTGAACAACATTTCCAGCAGTACCAACACATAATGTTGCTTTTCGCCAGCAGACTTCATGTTCACCAACCAAAGTACGCGATCATGACGACATAAGAGGCCCATCAGTCCAGTACAATCGAAGAACTGAGTACTAGCTTTTTCTCGCCGCTCGTCAGCCGCGGTGAAGCTATCCTGACAGCCATCCAGAATGGAGATAGGGACCTTGAGCGGTCCCTCATAGCCATCGGGAACATCATCGTCTGTTCCAGGAGGTTGTGGTTTCGGGTGAGAACGAGGGGGACGTATAAGTTCGACACGGGCTTCCATTTCCTTCACGATGTCTTCAGGAATGAACACGGACTTGGGATAAGAAGTAGGGTGATCGGGAACTTGCTTATTATGTTTCTGGGTGAAACACGCATCAACACAAACAATTGCACCAAAACTAAAGCACCAGGTGAGATAAGGACTAGGGCAGAAGTCTGGACACATACCCTTCAGAATATTGAACGCTACTCCCAAAACATGCTGGACACCGTGAGCGCAAGTAATAGGAAGGGCGCTGCAGAGAATTGGGGGTTGGCAACGTGGGCCGGGTCTTCTTGCGAGGTTCACTGTCCTCCTCGCTATCATCAGAGGGATTTGTGTGGGATGGAGCATTCGAGATCAAAGGACTTGGGGTCTCATGAGAAACTCCGTCCTCGTTATGATATGAACAGGAATCATCGCGTGCAGTCTGTATGAGATTATCGACAAACATCTCCACTTGGTGCTTGAGCGAGTTATACCACTGTAACGCGTTTGAAAATCGACGGCGCAAGGGATCCTGGGCAAGCTTGATCAGCATGGCAGTAAATATGGGACACTGAGTACACACCTCGCCTTTGAGATGATAGCCCTGGTCATGAAGAAAATCATCTAATGTGTCGCACCAAGCAGTGTGATTGGGAGGCATGCGTAGAAACAATTTCGACACGAATTCCAGTACACGCATGTCAACCGCGAGAGTAGGACTGACAGGGGCACATGGGAAACATCCTTGAGCAACTAAAAGTTCAGGTGCGGAACGACATGAACAGACATCAAGTTCAACACGTTCGATCACTACAATGTAAGTGAACACTTTGAAGTTGTTGAAATTGACAAAACAACTCACTACCAAAGCGCACGATTGCAACCTCCAGCAGTCGAGATTGGACTGTACAAGTACAAGGGAGCACGCATGGGTGTGGATCTAGGTGAAAAGAGTTGGTCTGTTCGATTAAACGCAGGTAGGGCTTTAAGAGCTTTGGGAGCGTTTCAACGAGCCAACGATGGGCTTGTCTATGACGTTTCTTGCGATGAGGCGATGTCGGTGGGTTGGAAGGGGGTAGAGAATAGTGTTCATATTGCGAACTATCAGGAATCTCTTCTGCTACAAGATTTGCGGACGAAGATGCAGTGGTAGAGATAGCATTTCGACGAGGAACATCTGAGGAAACCTCAGTGTTGTATATCGTACTCGTTTCCCTATGGTGCCCCACCAGAGTCTGGCCATCCGAGAGATAGATTGTTGGTCTAGGTACAGTGGCACTCTGACGGTGGTGTGGGGCTGGAACGGCACGGAAGAAACGAGGCGGAGTTGCGTCAAGGGCTGCGACAGCTGCACCTTTGCGCTTTTTGGAAATACGAGGTCTTGAGGACATTTGCTGTGCCACTACAATGATGTTCTGGGTATGACAAACTCAATAAATGTGGATTTCGTTCATTCATTATCACTACCTCACCTTCCAACCTGAGAATAAACACAAGGCAAATGCTACGACACTAGGAATAATGGGGAATCGGTAACACTCTACTAGCGAACTATTCATCAATGAGACCCTGCGCTGCGTTTACGATGAAGCTGTAGTGTGTGCAATAAGTCATGGAGGATTTAGCAACTAATGGAGATACTTACGCTTTTGTCCAGAACCTGAATGTCTCATCACCACGCCGGGCCAGGCGTGCATCAAGATCCCGAACATCCCGAGTAACGATCCTGTCCTGAAGTCCGCTTACATCTGGCACAGGGAGTAGGGTAGTGAATTCAACACTGTTTCGCCAGTCGTCGGTGTACACGGTGACATGGATCACTATTGCAGCACCATCCGGATCAAGCCGCTCCCTATCCTCGATACTGTGAAGAATATCTGCCGTACGTCTGCCGGTGATCTGACCGAGGGTCTCAGCAGGAATGAGTTTGCCATTGGTCCTCTCATACTGCACATAACATCCTCGTGGATCGACGTGATGTGGGGGTCTGGCGAGTTCAAAAAGAGACATCCGCCAAAACTGCGAACGACTAGCAGCCCGCACGAGGCGTACAAATTCGTCTCGCGTAGAATTTTCCATGCGGCTATTAACACGCATGTACGATGCGAGAACGACGTCCACGATGTCCGAGGTGTGTGTCGCTACCCAAAGTCGACCAGCAATACGAAGACGTAGGTTCACGTCTGTCACAAGATTGACGCCTGCGTGGAACTGGCTGTTGCAAGCCACTCGGTGATCGAACAAATGAGCTTCTTCACAGACATCATCCTGAAAATGGATGGGTAAAAGACCCGGTTGAAGAAAAATAAAGACTTACACAATAGGAAACACAATAACATAGAACGCAATGACGGGCTCCGTCCGTAGAGCGCCCACAATTACCACAAGAACCGATGTTCGAAAAGAAAGTGTCGCCAGGCATGGGGTGGGGTGGACCACTTGTGGCTGAGCAAAGAAATCGTTATATAGCCGCGTATGGTGTTCACCTAGCCGGGCATGCCATCAAAAGAGAATGCTTTGAAAGTTCCACATCAGAACACCGATATGGGGAATAAAAACATGACACTTACCATCTTCAGGTTCGGCAGGGTCAGGACAGACGCAAGAACACGTTGAAAGAAAGCGTAGCACCTGTCACCAAATGCAGTTAGTCGGAGTATTCTTGGGGCTACAGGCATGAGGCTTACAGGGAACACAGACGAAACCTTGCGAATGAAGCTGGGATGAATAAATAGCGAGAGGACAGATAAATATGGAAGGGAAGGCGGAGTAGGGAGATGGTTGTGGTATGTGGACAAGAGGCAGAAGGTGCTGTAATTGCCAGCCTCGGAAAGGTCAGGGTTCCTCAAGCCAAAAAGTCAGGTGACCTCTATGTCCGAGGAAGAACAGGAGAAAATCGGACTTAGAG